TGCAGAAAATATAGAAAAATATGGGAAGTGGGGGGGAAGACAAAAACCCAGAAAATATGGGAAAATATGGGGAATATTTTTATTTGTGTGTATTTATTTGTGTGTCCTGGGGCCCCTTCAGAGAGGTGCGCTCCTAAAGTCCGGCGAGGTGTCCAGCGGGGGCCCTCTCCTGGTCACTGGCTTGCAGCAGGGCTCGAGCGAGATCCCCCTCTTCGAACGGGAGCCGCCCTGCGTCCGTGCAGCTGCTGCATTCGTGTTCGCTGTTCTGTTTGCGAAGCAATTTCTGCTGACTGTTGATTGGGAGATCAGTTTTGATCTGAAGACAAGACGAGAGCCCAATTTTGATCTGAAGACAAAGTGTTGCTTTGAAAACATGTTTTTATTAGATGTTGATGGGAAGGCTCGATCGAGCGCCCCGTTCTGGTTTGAAGACAAAGTTGCGCGGTGCCACAGCGAGAGCCCCACCTGGAACATGTACCGCCCTTGCCCCTTGCAGCTGCTGCAATCTTTAAGGCTCATGTGCGCGGCGCCAAGGCGAGAACCCCACTTGGCAAAGGTGCTGCCTTCCATCCTTGAGGCACTCTTGGGAGGCTTTTTTTGTGTAAACAAGCAAGAAGTCAGATCACGTTGTCTTCGAGCTTTTCGCGTCCTTTGCTCACGAGCATGCTGACAGACTACACAAGCAGGCCGCCCAGACGAAGATTGTAAGCTGGGACCGCTGGGTCAAATCTCACACTGTTGGAGGGACTGCTTCGCTTTTCAAACATGTGCAGTTAACTGATGCCTGGTAGCTCTCCACCCTCGATTCCTTCACCCTTCAACCCAACACCAGCATGGAGGAGATGGGGGAGCTCGAGAAGGAGTGGTCCAAATGGCAGCAGGCGGGGAAGGAACAGCCTGCCCTAGAGTGGCCTAGTGACCCGGGGACGAGCCCCCACCCCGCCCCACTCGAAGAGCTCAAGAAGGTGATTCAGACCTTCAGGGTAGGCACAGGTTGTGGATACGACCAGGTTCCGCCCAGGCTCTTGCTCGAGCTGCCAGATGTTGCCCTCGAGCTGTTGTGCGTGCTGATCGGGAACATTGAGGCGCAGGCAGCATGGCTGCCCTTCACCATCAATGCTTTTTTTGTTAATCATGAAACCCCTCGGAGGCGTTCGGCCTCTCGGTCTGCTTCACTGTATTTGTTGCATCCAGAGCCGTCTTCGGAGGTCGATTATCACATGTTGGCAAACAACTATACATATATATATATATATATATATATTTCTGGTCGGCTTCCACGGGCAACAACGCTGGCATGTGTGTGTGTGTGTGTCCAGGCGGTTTGGGCCGAGTAGTTCCAGCCCCAGGGGCTGTCGTCTGCCACCCTTCTGCTCGACCTCAAGAAGGCGTTCGAGCTGGTGAGACATCATCACCTTTGGTCGCCGCCCAAAAAACGCAGCTTTCTTTCTGGGAATCGAAGATGTTGATCGAGGCTTATTGTTTGCCGAGGGTTCTGGATCTCCAAAGGACCGTTAGCGATTATCTCACGGCCGAAATCACCATTATCCCTGGCTGTGGTTTCGCAGCTGTGCTTCTGCTGCTTATGTTGCTCGGGCCGCTCGACTCTGTTCAGAGGCAGTACCGTGCTGTTTCCTTGCAAGTTGTCGTGGATGATTTCGGGCTGCAACGTTCTGGAGAGCAAGGCCGCATTATCGACGAAGTCGCTGGCGCAGGCGCTCAGCTGAAGCACGAGTTGGCGCGAGTTGACCTTTGGATTGCTCCGGACACAAGGCGTGTGCTTGCCAGTGACACCGCTCTCCGCCATGACCTCTCCGCCAGGCTGGTGTCGTTGAAAGCTAGGGGTGTTATGGCTGACCGCAAACTGGGGGTTGACTAGTCCTCGGGCAGGCGTATCTTGAGAGCCACGCGGCGTGAACGTATCCAGGTTGTCAACGCCAAGTTGAAAGGTTTGAGGCATCCACTGGGGAACCGCCAGGAGGAACAAGATGGTTTTGATGTCCAGGGCTGCGTTAGAGACATCTGTGTCTTCCGGCACCTCCGCTCAAGGCGCTACCCTGAAGGAGCAGGATATTTTAAGGTCGCAGATTGCAGCATCTCTCGACGTGAGAACCAGCGGCAAGAGCCGCACCATCGCGCTCGTCCTGGCGCCGCAGCCTCACTTCGACCCGATGTGGCGCATTACCCAAGCATGTCCTCGGACGAGGGCTCGAGCACGCGCGTGCTGCTCTATTTGGTAAAGACAGCACGTGGCCTTACGTGCGTGGCCCCTTTGGAGCTTTGCTTGCTACCCTGCATCGTGCTGGAATTTCTGTGGACAAGGCATTCGTCTGAAGGCTTCCTGATGGCAGCGTGCTTCAGCTGGAAGATATGTGTCCCAGGGTGCTCATGTCTGGTGTTGGGCATGCCGTCGGTGACTGGATCAACTTGCAGCTTTCGGAGCATATGGGGCATCGTGAGTTCCGTGGTGGATTCTGGGAGGCTCCCGTCAAGCACCTCTTGGGCACCAAGGGAGGGCTCAACTGGCACCAGCGGGGTTACCTTCGGAGTGCCTGTGTTGGAGCTCGATGGCCACAAGAGCGTCAGTTTCGACAGGGTTGGATCGACTCTCCCACCTGTCTCGCGTGCAAGTCGGCCCCTGGGACCCTCCTTCACTGCGTGTGCCGCCATGGTTGAGGCTGTAGGAGAGTCTGTCCCAGCTGCGGTTACGGCGTTCGCCCAGCACGCCGACGCCGACGACCTCGTTAGGATGTTGCTCGAGCGTGCGCTGTTGGCGCTGCCCAAGCCGCCGCAGAGCTTGCTCGATCAACCCACGGATGCTGGCTTTGTGTTCCATGGGAACCTTCAGGAACTCACTGGCGATGTGTACCTGGAAAGTTTTTTCTTGGATTATCCCGATAGAGGGCAGGCGGCTTGGGCTGCGGTCGCACTCGCCGCCGACAACTAAGTCCGAGCTGCAGTCGCGGGATTGCTCCCGCCGCCTTGCCAGGACATCGGTGGGGCGGGGCTCTATGCGTTGCTGGCAAGCTTCAGGTGCGCTGTATCGCCAGCTGTGTTCCACGCTGATTCCGAGCTCGTGTGGGAAGGATATGCCCCTGCGTGGGCCTGTGGCCACGACTGCGCCCTCAGCCGCGTGGGTGCGCCCCTGGAAGCAGGTCAAGCGCAGGGTTGACGATATGGGAGGTGACCCACCCTACGTTGCGTAAGGTGAAGGCGCATGTCGCGAATGCCACGGTGGAGGAAGGGAGGTGCTCTCCCCGAAACAAGATAGGGGATGACGCTGCTGACCGTGCTGCCAAGAGCCGTGGCGAGGCTCAGCGCCCGCGCCCCCAGTTTTTGAAGTTGCTTGACACGCAGCGGAAAATAGTCTTGCTCACCTCTCGCTGGATTGCTCGCGCTGATGATGCGATCGCCTCGGTCGACGCCCTGCGCGGGCAGAGAGCGTCTTGGCCAGTCAATTCGCTCGTGATTGTTACGCCGCCTCCGCCAACCCTCGCCCAGAGGATCTTGGAGGGCCAGGAGCGGTTGCGTCTCGCTGGGTCCAAGCAGCGCGTGTTGGCAACCTTCAGGATCGGTGATGTTCGGTGTTTTGCATGCACTCTGTGCGCCGCGAGCACCTCGTCTGGCGTGGTGCATATGGCGTGCGAATGCAAGCCCGTACCCGGCAAAGGCAGGCGCCTTGTCCTTGCGCGCCTGCAGGCTCGAGAATTCAAGTTCCAAGGTCGAGTGCAGCCCATTTTGGACTTCCGCCTGTTCTCGGCCTCGACGCGGGCGTCATAGTGCGTGATGAGCCTTCTCTCGTGCGTGATGCTGCGCGTCGTCCTTTGCGTTTGGCCGTCAGCTCTGCGTCTCGTGGTGCTGTCGGCGCGTGACTGGCTGAGGAGGTGGCGCAAGCGGTGAGGGCCCCAACCAAAGGGGTAGCGCCGCCCTCCAAAAGGGCCTGCCTTTGGTGCACGGGCTCCGTCCGCTCTTGGTGCTGCGCCCAGGATCAGCGTACACTCGATATGTATCAACGGCGTTGCAGCACTCCCCCCCCCGCTGCAACGCCTCTCCTTTTGGCAGTCCCGTGCAGGCTCTCTGACCCGCTGCGCGAGGCGCCCAGACCCCCCTGGACAGGCGAGCGCCCCGTGGGCCCGCATTGGGGGCGACAGCTCCGTTCTGAAGGAGCCCGCCCTCCGTCCGTCGAGCTCCGGGGGACTGCGACCACGGGGTGGGGCTCTGCCGCTCCAGCCGGGCGATCGCACGCACGGCCCCCCATGGGGGGGTGCGTGGATCAGCGACGGGCCCCGCTTCCACGGGGACTCGCGCAGTTCCGCCGCCGAGCGAGGCGGCACCGGCCGCCTGTGGGGGAGGGCACACTCCCCCACAGCCGATCCAGATTTGGCGGCCGCGCGCCAAATCCATGGATCGTTAATCCATGTTTGCGCGCCCCCGAAATTCGAGGGAGTACCCGGCCGCAGCTGCGCTCTGAGAAAAAAACACCGGCCTTCATCGGTGTAGCTGCTGCACGGTTTTGGCGCCTGGTCATCGCATCAAACGAAGTCTTAGACGAGCGCTCATCTCAGACAACCGCCCTCGCTCGTGCAACCGTTCCGCAATCACTTCGCGCATCCCGACCAGCCCATCCAGCAACGACGCCCAAGTGAGTGGCATTGATCAGGGGCAGTGGAACAAAGAGAGGGTCAGCCGTCACACCGAAGTTTTGGATCAGCCTGCGCAGACCCAGGAGTGATGTGTGTTCGCAGCCCCGTCGAATGAGGGGGATGGAGGATGCGAAGGAGAAGGATGATGAGGAGGAATGATGGAGAGGAGGAGTATCAAGTGGACAGGACCCCGAGATGATAGCCCACAGGTGAGCGGGTCGGCAGCGGCAAGATGCTCTCGAAGACCGCAACTCGTGGATGCACATTGGCAGGAGGAGAGGGGGAGGAGGGGGAAGGAGCAGGAGGAAGGCGAGCAAAAGGACTCTGAGTTTGACGCAACACGTTCTGGCGAACCCTGTGGGAGGATGAAAAGGAGGAGGAGGAGGAAAAGGAGGAGAAGGGGGAGAAGGATGAGGAACAGGATGGGGAGGAGGAGGGGGAGGAAAAGGAGGAGGACGAGGAAACATTGGGATGATGAGGAAGAGGGGAATTAGAAGGCTGGGAGAGGAAGAGGGCGCTGGCGGCGACGACGACGATTGAACCATAGAGGTCTTTGCGGATGCGGACCTTTCGCTCTGGGAGTCTTTTGGGTGCCTATCGGAGCCATCTTGCAGCCACCTTAGGGCCATTTTGTGGGCCCTCTCGGGAGCCCTTTGGGCCCCCCTGCGACAGTTTTCCAGGCCACAGGGCAACGCAAAACGGGTGGCGCCGACCGAGGCCGCCCCTCGTGGGTTTGGAAGGTAGCCTATTGGGGCGCTCTTGGGACCTTCCTGGGCGCTGGTGGATCAGCCTAGGTGCCCCATGGGCTCCTCTCGGGGCTCTCTTGGGCCGTCTTGGAAACATCCTGAGATCTCAGAAGCCCATTGGGAGCAACACGGCGCGAAAACGGCCCCAGGTGGCCGAAGATTGCTTCCGAGATGGCAACAGATCGCCCGAGGATGGCATCTAATATGCCTCCAGGAGGCCCCGAGCTCCCCAAGACGGCTCCAAGTGGCCAAGGAGCTTCACGAGGAGGCTTCCAAGAGGCCAGCAGTTGTTCAACGCCTTAGGAACATATATCGGATAAAAACATCTCTCGAAATTGTCAAACTGTATTGTTGTCAATTGTCAGTTTTCCAGAATAAATAATGAGACCATGTGCCAAACCTGCGTGCCATTTCATGACCCAGTTTCGAAAACAGGCGAATTCCAATGCTCGCTAGTTTCCCAACGGGGGACTTCGAGTTGTGGGTGCATGTTTTCTGTATGCCCCCCCCGCGATTTGGTCTTCATGTTGGCCGGATCGGAGTGTTATTGCATGTCCAAAGTTTCAGAACAGGGCATGGGAATGGCCATCAGTTCCCAGCCATCGGGGAACCTACGTTTTTCCATTGCCAGGCTCTAAAAACAGAGAATTGCAGTCTCCGAAAATGGTAACACAGTAAATGACAATCTCCGAGAAGGGGCAAACTTGATTGATTTCTATACAACGTTTATATGCAAATAGATAATACACACTTCCCAGCATGGACAACATGGGCGTTGTTTTGTTTTGGTTTGTTGTTTATCTTCCTACTTTCTGTTAACCACAGGGCATGCACATTTCCGAAAGTGGGGTATTTGCCATAGCCAGATTTCAAGAACAGAGGGTGGTCACTTCCGAAAATGGGGACATACTGTTCTTCATTGTCAGTGTTCACAACAAACAGATCATTGCAGTCTCTGAACATTGACAACATGGGTGATTTTCCATTACCAACATTCCAAAATCTCACATGCATGAAGATTGTGAAGGCCTGACGGCCGGTGCCGCCGACCCTGAAAGACATCGACGACGACCGGATGAGGAGGAGGAGGAGGAGGAGGAGGAGGAGGAGGAGGGAGGAGGAGGAGAGGAGGAGGAGGAGGAGGAGAGGAGGAGGAGGAGGAGGAGGAGGAGGAGGAGGAGTAGGAGGATCTCTGAAAATTGGCAATATGGGTTATTTTCCAGAACCAACTTTCCAGACTCGCAAATGCATGAAGATTTCAGAGGATCCGATGGCCGCCGAGGGCCGCCGAGGAGGCGGGCGGGGCAGCCTCGGGCGCGCGCAGGCGGCCGGCGGGGCGGAGGCGGCGTGCGGCGGCGGCGCGCCGCAGGGCGCGCCCACCGTCGACGCCGCCGCCGCCGCCGCCGTCGGCGAGGCCGCCGCCGCCGTCGACGTCGTCGCGGTTGTCGCCGCCGCCGTCGCCGCCGTTGCCGTCGCCGTCGTCGTTGCCGCCGTCGCGGCCGTTGCCCCCGACTGCGCCGTCGCCGTCGCCGCCGTCGTCGCCGTCGCCGCCGTCGCCGTCGTCGGTCTGCCCTGCCCGTTGCCTGTTTCTTCCGCCGCCCATTTTGCCTTGTGCTCCGCCCTGGTCGCCCCCACCGCATTTTCAAGCCGTATGTTTTCTGGCCGCATGTCCGTATCGCGAGGTGACCTGGTATTCGGTAGGCACATCAAATAAGTAATCGGCCTGTCAGCAGGTGCCCCACGACAACTTATTGTCCCCCGATGACCCCATGGACCCACAGAAGCTCTGGGGCACCTCTGGGCCCTCAGAGATCAACGAGGAATGGTCCCACCATTTCGATTGCAGGAATTCGTATCGTTTCTGTCCGCTGTGTCTCCTCTTCCCCCGCTGCCTCTTCAGCGAAGCACCAGTCTGCTCCAGGCAATATGCTTGAGAGTCGAATGGATGAGCGGTATCCGACGTGAGCCTCTCGTGTCCCTTGGCTTGCGTAGGTGCTTCAGAGTGGTGGTGCCAGATGGCGCTCACAGGGGTCTTCACCGCTCGGAGTCGCCAGCTGGCCCGAGAAGGCCCTGCCCGCTGCGAGTGTAGCGCTGGAGGTCTCTGCCCGCAGCGACTCGGATCCATGTACCGTCCTGAGCTGGGCGGCTGAGGATGCGTTCTTCCAGTGCGCTCGGCTGCACGAGCCTGTGACAGGTACGGTACAAGCTCGGGCAGCGCTCGCCTACACCGCTCAGCAGCCTTGCTGGGGAAGCGAGCTCGAGCTTGAGCCACAATGGCAGCTCGAGAGTGATGCCTCAGCTTGTGTTCAGCCTCGCTCGGGGAGCGATCTGACCCTTGAGCCGCCCGCCCCGTCCCTGTTCTCATTCGGCCGCGTTCTCTCCTCGCTTCTCCTCTTGCGTGGTGGCACAGTTCGCTCTAACGGCATTCCCGTTTAAGCCTCTCATCGCCAGCGCAGTCACCCTCTGCCCAGCCGCCGACGCAAGAAAAGTGTGCAGCCTCGCGAGGAGAGATGAGTCGTTGGGCCGCGGTGTTCTTGGCCTCCGCGTCGTCCTCCCGGGCCCTGCCCGCCGCGAGTCTTACGCTCGAGGTGTCTGCCCGCATTTGTTTGGATCCGGATCTCGTCCGGGATCCGAGCAGCTTGGCGTCCCCTCGGATCCAGACATCGTCCGCTACGGGGATCCTGTCATCGCCTGGACCTCACAAGGGTGGTGAGGCTTCGGGCCGCACTGCTCGTGGCCTCCGCGTCCTCCTCCGGGACCCTCTGCGCGCACTCGGCGTCGGCGTGCCCGCGCGAGAGCGCGATTTTGGAAACATCTGCGAGAAGGTGTCAGGCGGGAGCCGTTGTTGTTGTTGTTGTTGTTGTTGTTGTTGGTGGTGGTGGTGGTGGTGGTGGTGGTGGTGGTGGTGGTGGTGGTGGTGGTGGTGGTGTAGCCAGGTGGGCAACAGCGCAGTCTGAGCAGGAACAGTGTCTTGCTAAAAAGAGGGTGCGAGCCCCGAGAGCAGGCATTTCAAGTGAGAAAACAGAATGTGCACCGTTGGAGGGGGGATCAAGTTCACCAACGGCTCCCGCCTGGTATTTCCATGCAGTTTTTCTGAGAATCGCGCTCCCGCGCCAACGCCGACGCCCACACTAGCACCGACGCCACCTCCGACGCCAGCATGAACGCCTGCGATGGCGCCGGCACCAACGCCAGCGCCTACACCAGCGCCGACGTCAACACTGATGTCAGCACGAACGCCGGCGCCTGCGCCAGCACCAACGCCAGCGCGTACACGTGCACCGATGTCATCGCCGCCGCCAGCACCAACGCCGACGCCTATACCAGCACAGACGCCAGCACCGACGCCAGCATGAACACCTGCGACTGCGGCGGCACCAACACCAGCGCCTACTCCAGCGCCGACGCCAGCACTGACGCCAGCACGAACACCTGCGATTGCGTCGGCACCACCGCCAGCGCCGTCCCCAGCCCCGATTCCAACACGGGCCCCGACTCCAGCTCCTACTCCGACGAGAACGACCTCCCAGCGGCTGAATTCAATGCGCGACCCTAGCGCAGGGCGTTGCGCTGCTGGGCCCATGGCGCAGTGGTGCCAGTACCCGTGCCCGTCACCTTGCAGCCTCCACCTTGCATGGGGGCGGCCACCAACACTGCTCAACGTGGCCCCGACTGTCCTCTTCAGCCGTAGCACCATCAAGATGGGCAAGGAGGTCTTGACACCAGTGCCGGGGTACGGCGTTGTGATGGCGACAGCGTGAGCCGCTCTCTTGTGAATCCCCCCCCTCGCGTTCCTCCTCCACTTGGCCTTCGGATTGCAGTGCAAGGGTGTTCGTGCTCATTCACGGCCGTGGGCCGGGCTGCATTGAAACCCGATTTCTCACCAGCTTAGTGATGGTTTGCGCACTCGCCGTATGCTGTGGGCCCATCTTTCTCATCTGGCTGTCCCGTCCCGACAGAGGAGGCACTACGCATTTTGCTTGTGCCTTTGGAATGCTAGGGGGTTCCTGCCGCGAGTGTTTGTTGCACGAGTTATGTCGTGCGGTTCGGAGGAGCTGCTGCGCCTCAAGCGGTTGTGTTGGATCTCCCGTGGTGGCAATGCCGCGCGCTTGCAGTCATGGTTATCCCTCTCCGCCCTCCCTCGCTTCGCTTTGCTCCGGGCGCGCCGCCGATACGTTTTGGGGTGAATCCAAACCGCCTGAATTTCCGCCCTTTCTCCCAACCGCTCGCCCGGACAATACTTGTCACAGGTAGCTCCTCTCATAGCGGCTGTCTTTTCGCGGGGGGCAGGCTTTGTCCGCCCAGGCGGGCACCTCCAGCTGGCAGCGCAGGGGTTGTGGCAGCACAGTTGGAGCTTCACGGTGGTTCTCCATCTCCCCCCTCCCCCAAAAATGAAATCGCGCTATCGCGCGGAACTTCCTCACAATGTATGCAGGAATCGCGCTCTCGCGTGGTACTTCCTTGCAGTTTATTGAAATACCGTGCCCCCGACACTCAGGAGTCAAGCTCTCGCCTTGCTTCTTTTTCATGGTTTACTGGGGGATCGTGCTATGGTTCGAGATTCCCTCGCGGTTCAGGCGGGACGCGCGCTTCAGCAGCCCGCCTGCTTGACATGGCCGCCTGGGCCCGCCTTCCCGACCCGCCCGCTAGGGTCTGCCCGTCCGACCTGCCCGCTTGGTTATTCCACGTGTTTTCTGCTCCTGGCCCCCCTCCTGCAAATTTCTCTCGTGTTCCATACTTCTCCCTCCCCCTTGTCCCTCTCTTCCATGCGTCCTCTCTTGCCTTGGCACTAAGTCCGCATGGCAGATAAAGAAGATATGCCCCCCCAGGGGGGGCGTTGAATACGAAGATAACGGGTGCCGAGGGTTTGGGCTATACACATTGAGCGGCACGGAGCAGACAAAGGCGAATCGTATGATCAACATTGTTGTTGTTGTTGTTATTGCTGTCCTTGTTGTTCTTGTTGTTGCTGGTCTTGCTGTTGCTGTTGTTGCTGCTGCTGTTGAACCTTCACTACTGATCAATAAATATTGTTGATCCCTTTCCCTGTGGTGACCATTGTATTTTTCAATTGAAATGCTTCCCTCGGGGCTCGCACTCTGTTTTTGTTCTGGGAAAGCATGAGGCGCAAACTGTCTTGTTGACCCCCGGTTTACAACAACAGCGTCTCCCACCTGATACTTCCTCTCTATGTATTCCCAAATCGCGTTCTTACGCGGGAATTCCTCACAACTTGTATACGAATCGCGCTCTCGCGGGGGACGCCCTCACAGTTTATTCAGACGATGTGCCCTCGGCGCTCACGAATCACGTTCTCGTTTTGGCTTTTTCTTAAAGCGACTCATTGGGGAATCGCGCTATCGTTCGAGACTTCCTCGCGATTCATGCAGGACCCACGCTTCAGCAACCCGCCTGCCCGATCTGATCGCCTGGGCCCGCCTTCCCGACCCGCCCGCTAGGGTCTGCCCACCCGATCTGCCCGTCTGGTTACAACGCTTGCTTTCTGCTGCTTGCCCCCGTCCAACAAATTCCTCTCGTGCTCCATTCTTCTCCCCCTTTCCACCCGTCTTCTCTTCTCTTGTTTTAGGGGTTGCACTAGACGCACGTGGCAGGCACAGAAGATACTCCCAAAGGGGTACGATCGAAAACGACGAGGGCGGGTGCCGATGGTTCGGGATATACGTATTGATTGGCACGTGAACGTATCGGAGCGAACAGTAGTAGAAATGGTTGGTGTTGTTGCTGTTGTTGCTGTTGCTGTTGTGGTTGTTGTTGTTGGTGGTGTTATTGTTCTTGTTGTGGTTGTTGTTGTTTATGATGATAGTGGTGCTGATGAGGGTGATGCCGAGGATGCTGAGGATGGGGATGCTGATGCTGATGGTGATGATGATGACGGTGATGTTGATGCTGATGCTGATGGTGATGATGATGAGGATGATGATGCTGATGGTGATTCTGATGACGAGGAGGAAGAGGAGCAGGAGGAGGAGGAGGAGGAGGAGGAGGAGGAGGAGGAGGAGGGAGGAGGGAGGAGGGAGGAGGGAGGAGACGGCGGAGGGAGGGGGAGCAGGAGGAGCAGGAGCAGGAGGCGGAGGCGGAGGAGGAGGAGGAGACTGCGTGACCGCGCTGGCCGCACCGCCTCCCGTGCCCGCCCTCGCCGCCCGCCAGGGGCCGCCCCCGCGGAGCCGGTGGGGCGCTGGACCACAACAGAGCACGCGCACTCCTTCGCTGGGCTGCCGCCTGGCAGCGGCCCCTACGAGGTGGAGGTGCGGGCTAGGACTGTCTCTCAGGGGCACCCGCTCCGCTACCCAGATCTCCGAGGATACGAATGTTTCCTCCTCCTCCTCCTCCTCCTCCTCCTCCTCCTCCTCCTCGCTGCTCATCCTCTGCTCCTGATCCACCTCACCACGGGCATCGTCCGCTTCCTCCGCCTTTTCCCGCTCCTTCTCTCCCTCCTCCTCTTCCTCCTCCTCCTCCTCCTCCTCCATTTCTTCCTCCTCCTCCTCCTCTTCCTCCTCCTCCTCCTCCTCCTCCTCCTCCTCCTCCTCCTCCTCCTCCTCCCCCCTCCCGCCGACGGCCGCAGGGGGCCGCCGAAGGCCGTCCTCCCGCCGCCGAGGGCCCCCCGGAAGGCTTCAGATTGCCGCCGAAGGGGCCGCCGAGGGCAGCCCCGCGGCCCCCGTGTCCCTCGACCGGAGGGATCCTCAAGAATAGTGAAAAAGATAGTCCGGGGACGATGTTTTGAGTATGTTCTGGGTTCTGCTGGAGCATGGTGTGGGTATCTTCTTTTTTTCGCCCCGAATCCACCTGTAGGGGGACATCCCCGACCTTAGCCTTGGCACGCCAGCGACGCCGACGAAGGCGTTCGAGGTTGAATTCCGCGACGCGGAGCCACCGACGGACCCGGCAAGGCCACTGGAGCCCAGGGAGTTCAGCCTTTTGAGCGATCGGGGCCGCGATCGATTCAAGGTGGAACGATCGACGAGGCGTCGAGAACTTCTGCGCGCGCCGACGCCGCACGATCCTACCGTACCGAGCCGCGGGCGCGTGCTTGAGGACTGCCGCGGGCCTGCTGGGCCCCCGCTCGCGCCTGCGCGCCAGCACGGCGGTGGCCGCCCCGTCGCGGCCGGCGCAGCTGCGCGCGCGGCTGATGCCGAGCTGGTCCCGCCGCCGCCGCGGTCGTCGTCGGTGCTCGGGCATGGTGGGTCTTTCATGGTCAGGCGGTCGGCCGTCGCTCGTCCGTCGGTCGTCCGTCGTCGTGCGTGCGTGGTCGTCCGTCGTCGTCATCGTCGTCGTCGTGGGTCGTTCGTCGGATGTCGGTGTGTCGTCGTTCGTTCGTGGTCGTCCGTCGTCGTCGTCGTGTTCGTCTTTCGCAGCCGCCGCCGCCGTTTTCGTCGTCGTCGTCGTCGTCGTCGTCGTCGTCGTCGTCCTCGCCCTCGTCCTCGTCCTCGTCCTCGTCGTCGTCGTCGTCGTCGTAATCGTCGTCGTCGTCGTCGCCGCCGCCGTCATCGTCGTCGTCGTCGGTCGTCGTCGTCGTCGGTCCGTCGGTCCGTCGGTCCGTGGGTCCGTCGGTCCGTCGTCATCGTCGTCGTCGTTGTCGTCGTCGTCGTCGTCGGCGTCGTCGGCGTCGTCGTGGTCGATTGTCGTCGTCGTCGTCGGCGGCGGCGGCGGCGGCGTCGGTGTCGGCGCCGTCCTCCATCGTCGTCGTTGTATTTGTCTGTCGTTGTCGTCGTCGTTGTCGCCGGTCGTCAGTCGATCGTCGGCGGTCTTTGGTATTCGGTTGTCGGTCGCGGAGCAGCTGCGCGTGCAGCTGTTGCCGATGGGAAGCCCCTGCGTCCATGCAGCACAGAGTTGCCCCGGTCAGTTTTCCAATCCATCTCGGCGTCCAGAGAGGACCCTGCAGAGCGGATCGTCGCAGTGTGTGGACGGGTGGGAACGGGTGACGCGCAGGCACATGTGCTAGCCATCCCCCTCCTCCTTGACTCCTGCTGGTGATCCCCCCCACTGTCCCAGTACGGACTTCACGTGCACTGCGCGAGCGATAGAGAGAGAGAGAGAGAGACAAAAAACAAAACAACCCACGTACATGCAAGATCGGCTCACCGAGGGGGGGAGGGAGGCAGGAGGCGGAGGAGGAGGAGGAGGAGGGGGAGGAGGAGGAGGGGAGGGGGAGGGAGGAGGAGGAGGAGGAGGATGAGGAGGAGGAGGAGGAGGAGGAGGAGGAGGAGGAGGAGGAGGAAGGAGGAGGAGGAGGAGGGAGGAGGAGGAGGGAGGAGGATGAGGAAGAGGAGGAGGAGGAGGAGGAGGAGGAGGAGGAGGAGGAGGAGGGAGGAGGAGGAGGAGGAGAGGAGGGGGAGGGGAAGGAGGAGGAGGAGCAGGAGGAGAAGGAGGAGGAGGAGGAGGAGGAGGAGGAGGAGGAGGAGGAGGAGGAGGAGGAGGGCGCCTGCCAGGCACCTCACCGAGGGGGGGTGGGCGCCTCCCAGTCACCGCTTCTGGGCCACCTGGGCGCCCCCTCGTCGCCGCGACCTCTCGTCCGCCTCGGGCCCTTGTCGGCACGTGTTCCGGGGCAACGTGGGGAACGAGGGCCGCTGTTTCAGCGAGGAGCGGGGTAGGAGTGATGAGCGGATGGAGGGGGGGGGAGAAGAAGTCAGGCGATCGCAAAGATGGATCAAGGGGGCGTGGATTAACGACGGGTCCCGTTTCCATGGGAACTCGCGGAATCCCGTCGCCGAGCGAGGCGTCACCGGCCGCAAATTGGGGAGGGCACCTCCCCCGAACCGTGGATTTGGCGACCGCGCGCCAAAACCATGGATCGCTAATCCATGTTTGCGCGCCCTCGAAGAAGGACGAGGAGTGGGAACGCGTGACGAGGAAGGAGGATGAGATTCGTTGTTTGTCAACGTGTGGCGGCGCGAGGAGAGTGGCCCAGGGGGCAGGGGGCTTCGTCGGCCAGGCCCGCACGCCCTCCAGGCCCTCGAAGAGGCCCGGAGGTGGGGGCTTCTGCCGCCTCTCGATCCTGCGCCACTTTACTCGCTAACCTCTCGACGGGGAGCCCGGTCGTCGTCGTCGTCGTCGTCGTCGTCGTCGTCGTCGTCGTTGTCGTCGTCGTCGTCGTCGTGGTGAGGCGTCGGGCGTCATGCGTCGGCCATCGGTCGTCGGTCGTCGGGCGTCGGGCGTCGGGCGTCGGGCGTCGGTCGTCGGGCGTCGGTCGTCGGTCATCGTCGTCGTCGTCGTCGTCGTCGTCGTTGTCGTTGTCGTCGGTCGTCGCTCGTGGGTAGTGAGCGTGGCGGTCGCCCGTCGCGGTCGTCTTCGGCCGTCGTGCCGTCGGTTGTTCGTGGTTGGTCGCTGGTCGTCGTGGCCCAAGTCGTGCTTGTTTGCTCTGCGCCCCGATTCGTTTTGCGGTTACTGCCTCGCGCAGTGGCAGAGCGGAGCGCGAAGTTGGCGCGCATGGTTGTCAGTGCCAAGCTGCATTCGGGTGCAGTCCCCTTGGCTCTGAAGTTACCTAAACACCTTGCCCGTTCGCGTGACTTCGTCGTCACGCGAACGGGTGGGCCTGGCCACCACTTTGCACTGCTCGGGGCAGAGGTCCCGACCACTTGGTGGAGCCATCGTCCCGTCAGTTGGGAAGCTTGGCAATTCTCTTCATCTGGTGCTTCCTCAGAAACAAAAGCTCCCTGAAAACCTTGCCCGTCGGAGCCCTGTACACTTTCTCTAAGTTGGGGCGTGAGCCCTTCTGGTTTCGGAATCGGTGGCCCGTGGTCTCCCGCGTGGTCTCCCGCGTGGTCTCCCGCATGTATGTTCTTCCGGGTGGTCCCCCGTGTGGTCTCCCGAATGGTAGCCCGCGGCCTCCCGCGTGGCTTCCCGTGTGGTGTGGTCTCCCGTATGGGCTCCCCGTCTGGTTTCCCGTCTGGTCTCCCGTGTGGCCTTCCGTGCCGTCTCCCGCATGGTGTCCCGCATGGTCTCCCGGATGGTCTCGTGGGTGTGATCCCGCACGGTCTCCTGTGTGGTCGATTGGTTGCTGTCCCAGGTGGCCTCCCCTTTGGATTGTATAGCTTGAGACTTTCCAGGGTCTTCTGCTGCCAGGGTGTAATTTCTTGGCGTCGTGGTGCCAAGTTCCAATCGGGTTTAGCGGGCTTCGGATGCCCCTGGTCGGCCCCAGATGCCCATGAGATGACCCCTGACATTGCCCCGCAGGCTTCCAAGTGGGCCCCCAGACGGCTAAAGACGGCCCCAAGACCGCCCAAGCGGCCCCCAAGGCGGGCCCCGGCGGGCTCAGCAGCAGATTCGGCGGCCTGCTCACGCTACTGTGCAGGACCCCCGCTTTCGCGCGTGCGCCCGCTGCCATAGACACCCTGCGGCAGGGCATCCGGCTGGGATTCGCCCACGGCCGCCCGACTGTGAATGTGATGTCCCACCTGCAGACCATGCGCGTGCGCTGTGGAGATTGAGTGGCAGCCTCCGCTCGCGGACTTTCCTGGGGTGTCAGGTCGTGCGCGCACCGGCGCGTTCTCACCTCCTCCTCCTCCTCCTCCTCCTCCTCCTCCTCTTCCCCCCTCCTCCTCCTCCTCCTCCTTCTCCTCCTCCTCCTCCTCCTCCTCCTCCTCCTCCTCCTCTTCCTCCTCCTCCTCCTCCTCTTCCCCCTCCTCCTCCTCCTCCTCCTCCTCCTCCTCCTCCTCCTCCTCCCCCTCCTCCCTGAACGTGTCCAGGCCATGGACACACCCCGCTCGAGGGGCAAGTCTTCTCGGCACCGCCGCTGGTCAAGCTGCCAGCACACGCCGTTGCAGGTGTTTGGGATTGCATGCCGCATTGAGGGTTGACGCCGCGCGGCTGGACCATGACGTGGGGACGACGATGGACGGGCGCCCTGGCACGGAGCAGAGTTTGAGCGACGATTGTGCCCTCATGCCGCGCAAAGGTTGTGGTCTCGCAGGGGACGCTGACGGCACTTCGGCCGCAAGGGCCGCGACACTCGATCTTCGGGATCTGTTCCACCAGAGATGAGCCGCTCGAGGCTCAGACGACGAAAGTTTCGGCGCAGCGCGCATGGCTGGACGCAACGAGGGGCAGACCAAGGATTTGTACGAGCCTTTCTTAGCTTCGGTGCAGGTGGTCGCGAAGATGCAGGACAGAACGTATCAGGCGCCCCTCCTGGACAACGTACGCATGGTCTGTGTCGGTTGCCCTGGTGGACGCCTCTACTTCGTCCATGCGCAGCTCTTCGAGCTCATCGATTGCGCCGTGCGTGCTGTTTCCTAGAGGCAGGCAGCACTAGCCGACCCTCGAGTACAAACGCGATCCCACCGACGCGAGCTGACCGGAGGAAGCCCGAGCGGCGGTGTCCTTCCACAGGTCCGTGGCGAGCGAGGCCAAGAAGCTGGTCGCTTCGGGGGCAGACCAGCTGCGTGTGCGTGGCACTTTGCCGATTCGGACGGGGATGGCTTCATTCCGGAGGGACAAGAAACACAGCAAATTAAACGCCGGCTCCCAGGAAAATATTGGGAAAATATGGGAAGTGGGGGCGAAGACGAAAAAACACAGAAAATATAAGGAAATATGGGGAATCCTGTTCTTTGTGTGTATTTCTTTGTGTGTCCCTACTTTGTACGTTGCCGATTCGGACGGTGATGGCTTCATGCAGCGGTGGCTCCGAGCCGGCGTGCCGACTCCCATCCTGATGCGTCTCTGCTGGCGAGGACGCCCTGGGCCTCGACGCGATCCTTGGCGGGGACATGCATGGTCTTCAGACGTTCCCACGCCCAGGCCATCTGAATGACAGGCCATGCAACGTTCTCGGCCACGAGGCGGCCAGAACGCGGCAGTCACTCGCAGCCTCGTGCTGTACGCATCGCAGGAGCACGACCTGTATCAGCGCTTCTTGCGGCCGCTGGGCCTCTTCAAGATCCCAGAGGGCGCCCGCGGGAGGCAGAATGACTGGGCCGATAGCGACCAGGATCCCGCGCTGGGGCTCGTGTGCGGCCGCTCGGCAACCTGTCGGCCACACGCTTCCCGTGCTACTCTGCGCATCGCGCAATGAGCTCCTCGTATCTTTCTTCTCATGCTGCATCTCCTCCTCCTTCGTCGTTGCCCTCCTCCTCGCCCTTCGCCTCCCTTCTC